CCCAGCCTATCCAAGCTTTCCTCGTAGCAAAAATCCTCTGTTCCTGCAACATCCTTATAAATGTCTGTACCCTCTCATGTGATCACTTCCCTCCTGTATCATGTTTTGAGACTTTTATACAGTAAAGTCACGATAATCCCGGAGGACCATAGGGCTACTCTTTCATTAGAGAGAGATCACTGATAGTCGTTAAACCTGAAGGTCACCACACCTCAGGTGAGGAGTGAGCTTCAGAAGGTAGGTAACCTTCATAGTAACCTCAGTTAGTATGAGAATTGAACCTGCATTGTATTCATCTTTTTGGATTGCAAACCAGCTGTATGTCTACTGAGCTAATAAACTCCTGTAGTGTTATGTTGCATTTTAAATGCAGCCTAACTAGTTTTTGTTTATATAGTTCTAGCACTGCTCTTATATTCTATGCCTCAGTTACTAATGAAGAAAACCTCATATATTTCCTTATATTTACTTTGTATGACTCATCTGGTTACCTTCAGGAATTTTTAAACATGCTCTCCAAGATGCTGCTGTTCTTTTACCATTTCTCAGTAACACACCATTTAATGTGTAGTCTCTGACCTTGTTTGCCTTCCCCAAAAGTATCATCTCACAGTTCCCTTCAATTGCCACTTTATTCGTCATCCAGCCACTCCAATTACATTTTTATACAGGCTACAGTTTTCTTCCTCACTACGACTGAAAATGGTTCTCATAAAAGATGAGTACATCTTAGGTACAGGAGTTCCTGCCATGGAAGCATGTCAGCTGGGAAGGGATAAACCTATTCTCAAGAAAGCAATCAACACGCATCGAAACTCTGAGGTCATCTATCAATCATCAACTAGAACTCATTAATGGGAGAACAGGCAAGATTTTAAATTACACCAGAAGACATCCCAGACATAATCAGAACAGCATACTGGATAAAGGGAAGAAATATTTGCCAAAGAGTCAGCAGAAAGATCAAGACTCAAGGCAGTCTTATGGAAGCCAACACAGAGAAAGATAAAGGAACCTATCCAGTGTGGGGAAAGCAGTATTTCATCTGCAAACAGCTGAATTGCTTTGCACACAAGTATTTAGCTAGAAAGAAATAAAGTCTTTGGACCCCTGGAGAAAGGTCATCCAATGATTCTAACAATTCACTCTACATCATACAACAGGTTGGCATTGGTTAAAGGTGATAAATGGCTTACAGTTAGAATAAGGACTGCACAAAGGGAGAGCAAAGTGAACATGAAATTTCAAATAGACACTAATGCTTTGGGCAACATTATGCATTTCACAGACCTGTGCGAAGTGGCTTAAGATGGTAACCCAATAATGAAACCCTTGAAAGTAAACTCGAGGCTAAATCTTGCAACAATACTTGTTACATGAGGAGAAATGAAGTTAAGAACTGAATGAATTGGGAATAATGAAGGTCAGAAGGTCTTGATGGTAGATGTTAAGCAAAATCCACTTAACTCAGGGGAAGTAAGTCCAATGGTTGCACTGATAACCATACATGTGCCAAAAGAGATTTGCAGCGCTTCAAAGACACCAAGCTATTGACTGCGAAGAGATTACAAGGGTGTTATTGGAGGGAGTATCATTTTAAAATAGATGACAGTGTTTAATCAACTCAATATCTGGCAAAGAGAGTTCGAGCACTCTCAAGTACAGCCTGAAAGACAAGGTTGGGGATCTACCACCACGATAGAGTCCCCAGAACCAAGAGATCCTAAAAATTGAAAGAAAGATAAGAAAGCCAAGAAATCATTTTTTCAGGACCTGGCAGGTAAAGGTAAGCAAATAAAAGCAGGAAAGGCAATCATCACAGATCAGCAGAAAATAAAGTGTGATAAGAAAAAAAGAAAGGATCAAGAAGAAAAAGATGCTAACAAGAAACCTGAATTCAAGTATATTGGTCATTTACTGACAGCAAAAAAGACTTTGTCTGTGCCCTGACTAGGTGAGAATTGTAGCAGAAGTGGAGTGGCCAACAAAGTTCTTGTCCAATTCATCATTTGAGTTTGAACCTTTTCGCCAGATCATTGCTTAGGATGTGCACTCCTCATGGAATCAGAACAACAAGCAACTTTCATTGGACTCAAACACTAGTGATGACAACACCAGTGATGAGGTAACACACTTGTCAATGATGAAGTCACCTTGCAGTGTGTTGCCAGTGAAGCAAGATTTGGAGCAACCCTTATGCATCATGGACAATTAGTTCCATTTGCATCCAGGGCATTAAAGCAAACTGACTGATGCTTTGTTCAGACAGCTCTTATTTTTACTTGTGAGCAGTTCAATCAAAACCTGTTTGACAAGGACAAAGTGACAGTCAAGTATATCACAAAACAATTCAAAACATCTTCCTCAAGCTGCTTCTACCTGGTCCAAAGCATCTGTAAAGAATATTATTTCATCAATAGAGCTATCATCTGGACATGAAATACACTAAAGGAAACAAAAGTTTATTTGCTGGCACGGTGATGAGAGCAGCACTCCCTCTGAAGCAAGTTGAGGATGCTAAAGCAGAGAATGAAATCTTCTGGAGTCAAATAAGGAACAACAACTAGACAAGGCCAGAAGCCATCAACCCTTCAGAGACACTGAAATTGAAAAACAAGTATCTTTCTCAAATCAAGCAAACTATGCAACAACACGCAACTCTTCAAATGCTATAGGAAGTGTGATAAAAGGATGGTCTGAAACCGTTCAGGCACATCTATTGACATAACTGATTATTAGGTATACAGAAATGAAGTGATAACAGAAGATCATTGAATCATAGAATCCCTACAGTGTGAAAGGAGGCCATTTGGTCCATTGAGTCCATATTGACCCTCCAAAGGGCATCCCACCCAGACCCAACACCACCCCCCCATCCTACTCCTGTCACCCTGCATTTCCTGTGGCTAATCCAAAGCCTGCAAATCCCTAAATACTATGGGCAATTTAACGTAGCCAATCCACCTAACCGGAGCAACTAGAGGAAACTCACACAGACGTGGTGAGATTGTGCAAACTCCACACAGTCACCCGAGACTGGAATCAAACCCTGGTCCACGGCGTAGCGAGACAGAACTCTGCCACCATGCCGCTCAAGATGATGTCTTGTGCAAAGCAATTAGCCATTATTGCTCAGGAGATGAGAACAGAGATGCTGAAAAACATCCATGAAAGCCTTCAATGAATTCAGTCTAATTTGAGGAAGGCAAGAGAAGTGCTCTATTAACCAAACATGAGCAATGTGACCAAAGACTCCATCAGCCATACAGTCATAGAATCATAGAGATGTACAACACAGAAACAGACCCTTCAGTCCAACTCGTCCATGCCAACCTGATGACCTGAATTAATCTAGTTCCATTTGCCCAAATTTCACCTGTATCACTCTAAACCCTTCCTATTCATGTACCCATCAGATGCCTTTTAAATGTTGCAAATGTACCTGCCTCCCCCACCTCCCCTAGCAGCTTATTCTATACACGCACCACCCTCAGCATAAAAAGGTTGCCCCTTAGATCCCTTTTAAATCTTTCCCCTCTCACCTTAAATCTATGACCTCAAGTTTTGGACTCCCCTACCGTGGGGAAAAGACCTTGGCTATTCACCCTATCCATGCTCCACAAGATTTTAGACACCTCTATAAGGTCACCCCTCAGCCTTCAATGCTCCAGGGAAATTCGCCCCAGCCTATTCAGCCTCTCCCAATAGCTAGCAATATCATTGTAATCTTTTCTGAACCTTTCAAGTTTCACAACATCTTTCCTATAACTGGTAGACCAGAATTAAATGTAGTATCCCAAAGGTGGCCCAACTAATTTCCTGTACAACAACATGACCTCCCAACTACTATACCGAATGCCTTCTTCACTGCCCTATCTCCCTGCAACCCCACTTTCAAGGAGCTATGAAACCTGCAAGAACCTGCACCCCACGGTCCCTTTCTTTAGCAACACACCCCCGGACCACCGTGCAGTCCTTGTAACAAATATTAAGCTAAGCAAGCTAAAGAGTCATTTATGTTACATAACATCTCAGTAAGATTATGAAAGCTTAAGGCGGCCTCTTCTTGCTTACTAGAATTAATTACATTGTCACTAACCACTGTTCCTACCACTAGGCATTAGACCAGCTTATGTCAGCAACTACCGTTGAAGTTATAAAATCCCTGAAACCAAATCTCACTCATTCCAGACATTGTGGTGAATGACAATGACTTTCTGTGCACAAGTAAAGAATTCAGCCATTTCACAAGGATTGCAAAATTCATATTTCATACTATCCCCAAAAAAATCGAAACGCTGAGTGGGTAGTGAAACAGATTAATGAAAACAAGCAAACCCAGTACAGATTTGCAAAAAGTAATCCTAAAGTGGAGAAATACTGCTACAGAAGACAGGGAAAGTTGTCTTGTCCAAACACTAATGTCATGCTGTACCCATGTTAGTCATACAGCCATACACTAAACCTTTCCTATTCATGCATCTGTCCAAATACTTTTGCAACAGTGGTAAAGATACCGAACAGCCAGGTGTGGTAACAGGCATGAATGACAAAAATTAATGTCAAACAATAGGAAGTCAAATTTTATCTTGATAAAACTACAAAGGTATTTGCAGAGCTCAGCATTGGAGAACCAGTCAGAATGCAAACTTTCAACACTCTCAACAATAGTTAGCCCATAAGGCAAATTGAGATCAGTATTCAGCAGTTACCTCCTCAATTATACTTGGTGAACATAAATGACCAAATGTGTTGTCACACGCACAGATACATACATGCAACTAAAGAAGCTGTTCCTTTGCTTTAGGCAGTTGATCAGGATCAAGATCTCACCATTTGCGCACAGAATGATCATCAATCGCAGAACTCCAGTAGAAATAGATCAGCAAAAACAGTTCCCCACAGATCCAGAGGGGATGAAGTTGGAGGGGCATGGGGTGGTGTCAAGTTGGATCCAGAGGGAGAAGGGGTAGTCTCAATTTAATTGAAATCATAAATACCTATTTCAACTGGAAGTTCCTTGATACAGTTCCTGGATAAATCCATCACAATCAGGTTCTGGAACATGACAATAAAAGATGGGATGTTTTCTATACTTGTTTTCTTAATATACCATTCTTTTAGATAAGTCTTGTCCTTCAATGTTTCAGGAAGTTCCTGCAGCAAAAATAATATACAATCACATCACAAAGCAAATAATTTTCAGTTCAGCAATGAATTGGACATCTACAAATCACTCAAACAATCTATTGAGCTCCTTTAAGTGTTGTCTGACCGCTTTGTGAAGAATATTGCCATGGGTGACAAATAAATCAATTTGTTCGTATATTTTCCTAAGTTGTCTATCGGGACATAAACATAATCTGAGCTTTGAGAAAAGAAACAGCAATTCTCTCCTTATCCCATGTTTGCAAGGCCCGGTGGAAACTCAAAATACTCACAAAAGTCCTTTTGGAAAATAACTTTTCATTAGTTCATATTGTACCTACTTATTACATCTTTATTGGTAATATGTATTGTCTTTTTTATGTTTGTCAATTGCTCACTGGTACAATTCAGTTCTCATAGTATACATATTAATGTCAGTCAGCATTTCTTAATTAATACTGAAAGGTCCTTAAGTTGGTTTTTAATCATTATGTTTTTCTTTTACTTTAGCTACTTGCCATGTGTGACTCTTAAGATGGATTTTAACTTGGCAAGGATTATACAGACGAGAGGATTAAAATGCCAGGGTATTGGCATGGATGGGATCACACGACGTTTACAACATTAACCATGCCTGCCATCTTGTGCTGATGGGAAGGATGATTTGGAGAACCCAACAGGACAAACCTTCCTTACATGCATGGAGCAGCTATGAAATAGATTTGAAATCTAAACTGCCTCATCAATTGAGCATAGACATCATTTTATACCTTAACTAAGGATTAATCTACAGTTGATTTTGGCAATCCACCCTCCCACCACCAACTCAAATGATACAGAATTTGGAAAAGATTTTTTAAAAATCAGTTTTCTAAATGTGGAAATATCCTCTGTTTGCAATGCTGGCACTTACTGCTAACTAACTACCTTGTTCTAAATTTTACTACTAGACCTTGTGGATAGATAGCACCTGATATTCTAATCATATCCTCCCCAGCTACATCTACTTTTGGCAAGTTCACTCTCTTC